TATATATATATATATATATATATATATATATATATATATACGTATATCAGTGTATATAGAATTACTTAACACAGATAGAATCTTTTTAATGTATAAATTTTAACTATTTATATTGATTATATATATAAATCATAATAGATTTTCTTCTGTGTAATAAATTTTAAGTAACGACATTAAATGTAATATATCATGCAGTTTATCTTTATTTATTTTTCCCTCATAAAAGGAATAGATAAATAAAGTGCGAATGTTGGAGCAAAAATAAATAGAATTAATTTGAAGTTTCGAGTGTAGACGGAGGTATGAAACGAGAAAGTAAATTTTCCACTTTAAATCTTCCAACCCCATATTTATTTTGGCAATGCCTTTTATATGAAAAAGTACACCTTTTTTTTAAAAAGGATGATGCACATTTTGGATGAAAGGAGTACTGCGAGAAAGAGATAGAGAAAGAGAGAGAGAGAGGGGAGGGGGGGAGGGAAGATGAATTAGTAGAGAATGAAAGGATGTGTGCAAAAAGATCGTGATAATACAATATATATTATATTCAAATATATATATATATATGATAATGGTAAACTTAATGGTAGAGAGAAAGAGAGAAATACGGATTCGTAATCCTTACCTAGAGCTTGTCGTAAACTCATAACAATGAAATATATTTAACGCGCTATATCATCATATATAATATAAAAGAAGCGTGGTACGTATGTGTGTTTCCATTTGTGTATAATGTATGCATGTGTGTGTGTGTGTGTGTGTGTGTGTGTGTGTGTGTGTCTTTCATCTCGTCGTGTACGTCTGTATATCTTATTTTATACTTTCTATAAGTTCGTCAGAGGATCTTCCCTTCCTAATCTCTACGGGGAGGCGAATTAGAAGTGCATGCCTATATCTTACATATAGACACATATTCAAATATCGATTTCGAAGAGCACGAGTTGTAAAACTTTTTTTAACAGCTAATCGTTAACGGTTTCGATGCGTAAGTATTGTAGCGAGACAGCGTAACATTCATTACTATCATTACGTAACGTTCGCAATGATATTATTACAAGAAACCCGTGTGTTTTCTCAGACTGCTACGCAGAGACCTTCGAAGTCGCCTTCGCGGACCGCATTCTCTCCGTCGGATCGTTTAAAGTTTCGATATATGAAGTTTCAGTGTAAATCACAGTTCACTCATACACGTCGAAAAGATATAACGCATTCAAGGTACGCTTCAATTTTACAACGAAATGCATTGCGGCACGTCGATCGAGAGCGATCGGCTGTAACAATAAATAATTTCTCTCATACATCTTTTTGAAACATATATCACAAATCTTTCGCGGACTAGAAAAACACGCGATAGTAACACTAGTAAACATAATCTTTGTTATATGCAATATTTCTCTTTTTTTTCTTTTCTTACGCTGCATTCAAAAATGTCATCGAATTTTTTTCAGAATTAGAGAGAGATAGAGAGAGAGAGAGAGAGAGAGAGAGAGAGAGAGAGAGAGAGAGAGAAAGAGTTTTAATTTTTTTAATATAAAACAAAGAGAGATACGCTTGAAGAAAGCATACGATCGCTTTTTTTTATTGCCATGCTACACTATCCTCTCGGAGGCAAAATTTGTATTAGTTTACACACGTCCACAGGGATTCCGGATCCTATGGACGATTAAACATTGATACGATCTTAAACAGTACATATGTATTTCGATATGTGCGATCTTAAGTAGAACCGCCGCCGGTGTATTGCAATCGAGAAGCTTACCTCTAAACTGTTTTAAATGCACATTAAAATGCATTATGCATATTACATAGCTTTGCATAATTTTTTTAAGGATATGTTTTTGAGCTTTTGGAAGTAAGCTCTTCGATTTCGTGGATCGCCGTTGCTTCCCTCTTGTTCTCTATGAATAGTACGTATTAATGATTAGTCTTGTAATTGGCACAAGTTTTCTCATGTATTTATAGATAATCGAACGGTTTTAATAAGAGAGGACTTAATATCTCGCGGTGTAGATGGTTTAGGTAACGAGGAGAAAGAAAGTGGATGTAGATGAGAAGAACGACGTGAGGGATTCCACATAAACGATTCCGCAGTCGTCCAACACCGTTTGGAAAACTGACGGATGTTACTTTCGCTACATTATATTATAATGCTGTATTTTATAACGAGACAAGATTGATAATGAGCAATCCTAATGAGAGAGCGAGAAAGACAATAAATCGATAAACTTTTCACTTACAGATATATAATATATAAATCAACGAATTTAAATCTAATTGTTCCTATAGCACTCGCTCCAGATCTCTGGTACAGAAAAATTGTCCATATTTTATAATGACAAGTTACGCCCCGCAAGCATATAATATTATTTCTGAAATGTTATTACAAGTGGAATATTAATTTAAACTGATAACACACACCACACACACAAGCAGGCACATACGCACGTACGTGCACACTCGAAAGAAATAACATACACACACAAACACACACGGTGGTCGTTCGATAGATATCTAACGGAAATTGTAAAAATTAATGATACGCTGTAATTTCAATAAACGACTTACGATCACACAGGGTGATTCAAACATATATCGCTAAACACGAAACATTCTATTTTTTAAAATAATAATAATGTTAAAATATAAACGAGATATTTTATGACATTTGTTTTTATTTTTTAATCGTTATATAAAGAACGAACTGCAATGAGAACTTATTATTGGGCAAAAAACATAAAATATCGTTCAACTTTCAATTTGTAATTAAAAATTAAAAAGTTTGGTACATTATAGACACTTTTTCTCTCTCTGTCTTATATAAATATACTTTTTAAAATTTGTACAATTCTGCTAAATTTTTTGTTGATTAAGTTGTTCTCTTCAGACCATTTTTAAGTGTCTAATACTCTTTAAGAAGACACGATACTCAAATTGCACATAGAGAATAAAATATAAAAACATTTATTATGTAGAGATATCATCAGTCTGTTAAATTACACTTGGTTAATAATACATTTGTAGGTGTTAACTAGTCAATACTTTTTCCCCACATACGATACACAATCAAGCGACATAGATTTGAATTACTCTGTAATCTCTCTTTACAAACTCTAAATAAAGATCCATTCTTTATGCTGGAATGTCGCTGTGTGACGCTGCTACGATTGTCGACGAGACAAAAAAAATCGAATATTATTAAGTATCTTGTGCTTTGTGAAATGGACGAAATGGAGAGGATGCACATTACGCATTCGATTATAGCAGTAGAAGAATATGTTATGTGTGATATGCGTGTATGTGTGCGTATGAATGCATGTTTTATACATACAGGATATCCAAAAATGTGCGGGGTTTGCCTCCTTTCGAATATGATTTGACTAAATTCGGGAAAGGACCTTTTTCCTTTATCTAAATATAGAAAATAAGTCCATACGTCTAAATAATCAAAATTCAAAAAGTTAAATATGCAAAATACAAATTAAACTTGGAAAATATAAGATAATATTAAAATTCTATTTTATAACTACTATGTCGGATCTATTTGAAACTTAATTTTATTAGAACAAAAAATTAAATATAGAGATAAAAAATTATGATAAAAACTGCGACAAGTGATCGACTCTAGACTGATAAAGAATATTGTAATCGACGGAAAGAATGCGATTTTTGCGATATCCTGTATGGATATACACGTGTGACCTTGGCCACACGTTTAGAGATTAACAAATAAATACAGATATACATACACGCGCCGGACTATATGTATGTGTGCCCAAGCCGACGCGCTATAAATTTAGACCCCCGTTTATATCTCATAATTAACATTCTGTATGCAGTCATCTAAATTCTCAAT